AATCGATTTATCGCCCAGCCCTATATTAAGCTCCTCTGTGCTGCATCTTAAAGTAGGGTGTCATGTTTTAGTGCTTGGAGCTGCATCATGGGTAAAAATAAAAAACCTCCAGTCTTGATTATTTCTTGAGTTTTTCAGAGCTAATGGTCCCATGGTTAAACAGCTGGGAACTGTATATTGTTTGGGCTGGTAATATGACTGAACTCCTCAGTTATCGTCCAATGTGCCCTTGAGCAAGGCATGCTAGTAGGGCTGCAGCTATCGCTTATTTTCAGTGTCAAGCTCATTCTCATGTTCATTCTTTGAAGCGGTGTGTTTGTATGGATAATATTAAATGAACAAGTTTCACAGCTTAATTTTTCAGTTCACCAATCAATCCTTTTTTTGGTTGCCAGCTGACAGCCTCAACCTAAACATGCCAAAAGTAGTTTGGTGGTCTGTGTTAATTCTATGCAAACAGTCTGAAGTGTCTGTTTTGGCTGACCTTCCCATCTGCCTTCCTCCCCCTCTGTGTCTTCCTGAGCAGCAAAGACCAGGCAGAGATGGACCCAGCAGATATGGAGGATGTTGAGGAAGTGGAAGAGGAGGAGACGGGAGAAGATGAAAACAGCAAAGGTTTGCATCTCGACAAAAATGCCCCACTTTTATTGTTGGTATAGGCCTTAAAATAAATTATAAACATGGTTAGCAGAGAATACATAGTTTTGATGATGAAATGTTCCAAGTCAACATTCGATTCACAATGAAAAAAGACTTTTAATCATTCAGGTGTATAAAAAATGTCATTTCAGTAGCAGAGTAACAGTCTGGCCTCTGGCTGGTATTTAATGTGGGCAGAGTTATTTGCATGACATGATTTTGAATTGTAGTTAAGAGCTAGGAGGCACTAATCTGTTTTATTTTGGGATCTTGATGCCGTTTATGCATCCTTTTGATGTTCAATAAATGATTCAGACAGTTTCTCATATTAGCACTGTGGACAGATATACATGGCTGTTTGGCCGTGTCTATTTATAGCTCGTTTCAATAGTCTTTTAAAAACCAGACTTGAAAGAAGGCTCATTCTGACTGCCTACGACTGATCTGTCATAGCAACCATACTCCTCAGCTTCCAGACCTCATGTAAGGCTTTCCTGAGGGGAGATTATAAATGCATGAGCAATACACAGTTACAGCTCGCCAATGTTAACATACAGTGCGAACTCCTGTTAAGACACCTCACATTTCACACATCAAGGCTGCTGTGAGACACCAGTAACAAACTCAAGCCTGAGATGTATTCAGATGGTTGCAATCTGCAACTTCACTGCTAGATGCCGCTAAATCCCACACATCCTTTTTAAGCATTTGTGATATGATTCCAAGCTCCATAACCATCAGTGTATCTTCATGAATTGGAGGAAGAAAATGAACAGAACAGTTTTTCATTGGACTATTACAGCTCTGTAGACAGAGGGACAAAAATGTGAGATGCATCTGGCTTGTGTAGAGCAGCACATCAGGACAATGCTTGTAGTTATCTTCCACATGAAATCTAAATTTAAGTATCAAACACTCTGCTCTGAAGGCGTACAAAGGTCACTGGGAATAGTTTGTAGAAAAGCTGTGATAGGCTAGAATTCTGTTGCTGTGGCTTCAGATGCGACCCAGCATGCTGCAAGCAGGAGTGGCTTAAGAAGTTTCTATTGGTCTTTTGATCATTTCTTTTCTCCACAGAGAAAGTGTTCATTCTTGTTATAAAATTTAGCTTGGTCAAGGTCAGAAAGGGCATGGTAGTCAGCAGGGACAATGTTTGTTGGAAAAAGGGGTCAAAGACGGTGAGGCATTCGTATCATGACCTCAAAAAGGCAGCTGGCACTCATTGACGTATCCCTCTAAAGAAGCTTTTTGTATCAAAGCATTCAGCCCAATGACTTGTATTGGGTGAATTCAGACAAGTATAGGTGTATTTATTTGACTGGATGCAGAGCCTTGGACAGCTGATCTATGCTAGCTGGTAACACATTACAAGCCAAATTCCCAGGATGTGCCAACAGAGAAAAGTGACTTCCAATCTCTTTAATCTTCTCACCTGCCAGCAGTGATCTGACTGAGCTTTGATAGGTGCAAGCAATGTGTCGGACACTTGGATTGTACCATCTGTCACCTGTCTTGTTGCACAAAGGGAGAGAACCCTTTGTTGCTGACTGTCTTCTTGTGTTGATGCAGCTCTGGTAGTATTCATATTATTAACCAGACTTTATTCAGTGTTTACCTAATTCACTTCAAATCACAAAACTGGTAAAATATACAGGAGACAAACATGTTATTGAGAGATGAGACAACGCAATGCTAGTTCTCAGCTCGAACCTGCTCACATACTGGTAAACACAAAATGCTTAGGTGTGCAGTATACCTCAGGAGGGATCAGATATTCCTGGGAGGATAAAGTCATAATACTGACTAAAACATATAAAAATTTTGTTCTTGTGTGCTGATTCCAGTCCAAAACATGAATTTGTCCATTTAAGCAAAGTGTTAATTTAATCACACCACCTACTCCAGGTCAGTTCTCATCAAAATATAAACAGAAGGACCCTCTCATGCTGCCTTCATATTGCATTTTTGACTGTATATGTGTTTGTGTCCTCAGCTCGTCAGCTGACTGTGCAGATGATGCAGAATCCACAGATCCTGGCGGCGCTGCAGGAGAGGCTGGATGGTCTGAACGGCTCACCGTCAGGGTACATGGAGAGGTGAGACATAATCTATTGTTTGGTGATAACACACTTATACAGCTTGCCCCTTCCACAGTTGTCATAGAACAGAGTCAGATGTTCAGCATCTGTAAGGAAGCAGGGAGGGTGGTTGCAGTTGACTACCTAATTGCATCTGACAATAAATGTTTTGGCTTTTTTTTTTTCTTGTTTCATAACATTCCTATCTGTCGTTTTTGTTTAAAATTGGTTACAGTGTAAAACATAAAATCAACACAATAGATTTATTTTCAATCTTGATCCTTCTCAGCAGTTTGCACACTAGATGTTTTTTTGTTTTTTTGTTTTTTTTAACCGTGCTGTTGAATCCTGTTGCTGCGGGCTATCAGTCGTAGGTTGTAATCATTTACTCGCACTTGGATGGTAGGTGGATGTTTTTGCTTCTCCAATTGCATACTTGCATGCTAATTAGTTTCCTAAGTGGTGACTGTGCCTTTTTGAGTAGCGGTGCTTTTATGCAAATCAAGTTCAAGTGAAGTTCAGTCATATATTCCAGTAGAAACCACTGAATCCAGAAGTGAGGATGAATTAAAGTAGCCAACATTCAACCTGCCACTGGATGGCTGAGCCCATAAGGATGCTATAGTGAGGTTTCAATGTGGTACTGCTTTCCTTTCCAAACTCTGAAAACCCTTTCAAAATGACAAACTTGTCCATGCGTAGAGATCACAAGGTAGCCACGCCCCCAAAAGCATACACTACTTTATCGTCTGTTTTACTCTAAATGGGGCCATAATTTCCTGAAAGAAAATCATGCTATATGGAAGAAGACTATAACTAGAGATTGAGACCATAAACTTGTTACACTGTTTACTGAGCTCATAAATCAAGTGAGAAGTTGGGTCATCTCTCTATTAGAGTGCATGGTATTGTTTTTTTTTTTTTATTGCAGCCAATGGCGCTCACCCTGCTGGCCTCTACATACCATGCAGGCATAAGACACTTCTGCGTTTGCTTCACTTCACAGACCTGGAAGCTCTGTCCACTATATATACTGTCAATTCTCTGGACATGTACAAGTCCGGAATAGAGGGCAGGTTGACACCAGGGAATTTTTTATTTTTATTTTAAACTGCAGTCGTGACTATCCCTTGTAGAATGTTTGTTTGGTAGCCAATCCAGGAGAACAGTCTGGATGATTGGATCAGCAGCTCAGAGGCAAGTTGTGTTCCTGAGTTGGCGTAGGAAGTACATCCTCTGCTGGGCCTTTTTGATCAATCAGTGTTGGACACCCACTTTGGGGCCTGGGAGACTGTGGATCCCAGAAACCTGAAGGTTTCCACAGCAGACAGTGCTGTTGTAGTGAAGTCTTGTCTTCTCCACTGTTTTGAATGTGTTTAGCTCCAGGTTGTTATGACCGCATTAAAGATGCAGGAAGTCTGTATGTAGACTCATCACCGTCCCGAATGAGGCTGACCGTTGTGTCGTCTGCAACCTTCAGGGGTTTAACAGAGCTGTCTTGTGTTGCAGTCAGTGTAGAGGTAGAGGAGCAATTAATGCCTCGAACAGTCAAAAGATGAAGGCATTTATATTGGTGAGACACAGATTCAGGCTATTTCTCCAGTTCTAAATATTTACTTGAGTGGGTGAATACTTTGGCAATCTGTTGTTTTGTTTGTTAAAATTGTACTTCGTTTGGATTGGTGTGTTTTTGTCTGTGTCAGAAAATCCCAATTACACCCACCGTGGGGTGTAGTTTTAGTTTTAATACTTGGCATGAAAAAGTCCTAGAGGGGGAGAGTTTTCTTTATATAGGCATTGCAAGGTTATCCTACTCATGGATGAAGTGAATGCATCAGATCGATGACTGCATGTTAAAATAACCTGAGAATAGAGGTACAGTGGTAGTAGCTTGTGAGATGCTGTGTGAATGCAGTCGTGTGTCTTGGCTGTGGGGCTGTGCCACCCACTGCTCCTCTTCTCAGCAAAACCATCAGCAAGCAGCCCTTTGATCAACTTGTCAAGTATTTGGCAGTCACAAACAAAGTCACCAGTTACGACATCCCAGCACTTGGGACCAAACATGCATCCCTTGCCAGGCTAGTGCAGGCGTTTTAGCCACACTGCAGAGAAACTTGAGTGTGTGTGTGTGCAGCCTCGCTACAGCTCCCAAAGCCCGGTGACCACTATCATCTCAAAATTAATGCTCAAGAATAAGTCGATTGATGTTCAAGGCTTCAACCCCAGCAGGGCAGTCTGAGGCCTCAGACAAAGAAATTGGATTTCATTAATATCTGTGCAAAATGAATTTTAGCACTGTAGCTATTTTAAACCTGTCGTTTCAGATGTCAAGACTTTTGATTTTCAAATTTAAAACTGAATCATATCTTGCCAAAAACATTAATGCTAAAACATGCTATTCATTAATAAAACCTGTATTTTTACAAGCAAAATTTGTTCCTCACTTTATTTTGCCAGGGTGTCCTCTGTAGTGTAAATAATATACGTGCAATTTAAAGTACAAGCAAGATAAGAGAACTAACATTAAAACATTGAAAACAGCAACTGGAAGAAAATATTTGGAGAAAAATAAATGAAACTAGTTATTAATTCAATGCAAAGCTATAGTATTGATAAAATCTTTAAGCTCTACAATGTACCATTTGTAGATGGAGGTATCTATGTATGAATAAATAAATAACATGTTTCTATTTCTGAGCCTGCTGCAGTTTTATTTCCCATTGTTTGTGGAGCAATATTTAACCTGAAACTAAACAACACGCTCTTATGGATCATATACTGTATGATATACACAGGTATTATGTAACTGACTGAAGGCCAACCTACATCCTGGTCACAGGTTGCAGCGAAGCATTTCACCACTGAACTGCGATATAAAACCTCTAATACGGTCCTCCAGGACTGCCAAGATTGTTTAAGGTTGAAGTTGTTGCCTGAGTGGGTGTTCTTGTCTATACAGAAGGTTTCACTCTTTGTGTTTTGAGTTCCTTAGTATATCATTTAAAAGGGAATATAGAACATTCCTTGACAATGTTTTTAAATCTTCTAATCTTGAGGAACACACTGCATCATCCACACCTGGAACCAGACTATAAATTCCTCAAGCATAAACCAATGAATCTGTGTACAAGTAAGACATCATTTCTTCACCCTGCTGTTAAATCTCAATCAAACTTGTTCAAAACTGTTCTTGGCATGGTTTCAGTTGGTTTACAGTGTGTACCTAGAAGACCATCCTGACTTATTGGAGATCCTCTGGGGACAGTGGTGCTCTGCAGTGTGTTTCTCTGCTCTAAAGCTCTCAGCAGATTAACTTCAGAAGCAAGGTCTCCTCTGGTACCATTTGCGCCCCATTAGGCACATTTTGTCCTGTGTTTTTTAAATTTAGAAGGCTGGGAGCAAACAAAGTACATGATCACAAAATGATTATACAATCTCTAAAGATATAAAAGGGCTGCACAAATCCGACACGACTCACAATCCTGTTATTTTCACCTGATGTTTTGTGTACTTTTACTGCTACAATGTGGTGTTTAGTCACATTAGTGTTCTTTTTTGCGTAATTGCCCAGTGCTGCCACCATGAGTTATTTGCAGTGGAAGGGCAGAGTGAACAAAAAACCCCTGACCTTTATGCCAGGATTTTTCCAGGACTGTACTCACATCTTCTCTCTTCATGTGTCATCCCACAGTTTACCAAAGGTTGTAAAGAGACGCGTAAACGCCCTCAAGAACCTGCAGGTCAAATGTGCTCACATTGAGGCAAAGTTCTACGAAGAAGTACATGAACTGGAGAGAAAGTACGCCGCACTCTACCAGCCCCTCTTCGACAAAGTACGTCATTTACACCGTTTTTCTTTGTCTTTCAGTGCTATATTCTGCTGTATTTCTGCAGCTACAATGGGCTTTTGTGCACTTCCTTGTTATAGAAGCATTCATCTATATTTGATAAGGCTGATACTGTAATTAGTTACATCTATGTATTTTTTTTCTGAGTACAGTTTAACTCTGTGTTTCCTAAGATTGGCATGATAATGCAGTTTCCATTTTAAAAAAGCAAACAAAAACATGAAACTTTATGATTGGTTTGAGTGACTGGACAACAATACATTAGGCAGCTGATGCATGCATTGTCTATTACATAACGTGTGGTTGATGCATTCAGCATCTGTTGCCTTAAGCGGGCTGCCATGTTTATGCTGATCTGTACTTCTGTACACCCAGTAAAAAAAATACCACAGACACACACACAGCCACAGCCACAGACAGACACAGACACACACAGCCCTATCTTTGATCTTTCAAGCAACCTCAGGATTTGGAAGCAGCTCAGGCGGTTCCACTGATCCATTTTAGAGCTCAGATATAAAATGGCTCGTTCCAGTTGTCTCTGTAAAGCAGATGGCCGTAAACATAAAGGCTATACTACGATAGCTATAGCATTTTATTACTGTTTACCTGTCAATATAAGGCTGCAACTTTCAACTTTGACAAATTGTAATGAACATTTCTCCAAAATTTAGACCGTGATGTCTTCAGATGCTTCTTGGGTACAGGTCAAAGGAGACTAAGAAAAGCAGCAAGCCCTTGATTTGTTGGTAACATTTGATAAGTTGGAACATTGTCGGGCCTTTGTGCTTTGATCATATTTGTTGCAGATAAAATTAGCTGATTAACGAACTGGTTAACTGAGTAAACGTTTCAGCTTGAATGTAGTGTTTCAATAACCTTCTCCAATTTTGCCAAATCATGAAAACTGAGCAATTTCCTATTTCACAAACCTTGTAAAGATTGAAATCCACTGCATTTAAATAGTGTCTCAACCCCAGGGCCTATTTGAGATGAACACAAATCAACATGACATCTCATAAACATGTCCAGTGGTCTGAAGATGAGTGTCCTTTATCGTGTTAGACCTGACAGTTTCTGTTGTTGCATTGGAATGGCACCACTGGTTAGAGATCAAATTCTTACACCGCTTTTGGACACACAACTCAGCAGTATTGACAGTGTTGTCGTTCAGTATGGTTGACTGCAAGATCAAAACACAAGTCACACACACACACATACCTGCTCACTTGAATTTTGATGGATTTGTTCTTAAAGGGACAGGGAAAAACCGAAATACATATTTTTCCTTTTACCTGTAGCCCTATTTATCCTTTAGGATTGTAGAGAGAGTGGCTGTCAAGATGTCTGCCTTCTCTCCAATATAATGGAACCAGATGGCACTTGGCTTGTAGTTCTCAAAGCCCAAAAAATGAATTTTGAAAAACTGCAGTGTCTCTTTTGAAGAAATCTTGACCTGGTTACTCAAGATTATCCACAGACCTTGTTGTGGGCAGTTTTGTGTAGAAGCTATTTTTGTTTTTTTTCTAATGTGTGCTTTTCAAATGTGTTTTTTTGGCACTTTGAGCACCACAAGCCGAGTGCCATCTGGCTCCATTATATTGTAGAGAAGGCAGACATCTCTGCGACTGATATGACCAAAACTCACACCACAACAGTGTAGGAGTCAACTTACCTGGGTGGACTGTTGCTGGTCAACCCGCATGTTTCTCAGGTCACCAAGGCAGCAGCATTGCAGGCTCATTTTCATGTAAACAAACATGAGTATAGAAGCTTTCCCAGTAATGGCCTATGTTCTCACTTGTCACTGAAGCATCTCGTAAGAATCACATGGCGTGAGGCCACTGCTCCAATTCTAACTGTTTTTCTCCTTCACAGAGAAGTGACATAGTGAAAGCAGCATATGAGCCCACAGATGAGGAATGTGAATGGAAGGCAGATGAGGAGGAAGAGCTGACAGTAAGTAAGCAGGTACAGGTGACGTATACACCTGCATGCCTCCTGTCTGACTGCCA